CTCCTGGGTTCAGGCAATTCTCCTGCCTCAGCCTCCCGAGTAGCTGGGATTACAGGCACGCGCCACCATGCCCAGCTAATATTTTTGGAGTTTTAGTAGAGACGGGGTTTCACCATGTTGACCAGGATGGTCTCGATCTCTTGACCTCGTGATCCACCCGCCTCGGCCTCCCTGGAATAGTTAAATAAAGTTACAGGTCTTGCTTTTGGGAGCTTTGTGTGTATATATACTTTGTTCAGTTTGTACTGGTGAGTATGTATTACATGTATTTAGAATATAATGACTCTTGAATGTTTACAGGAAGACTGTTAGAAATCTCATAAAGGAGTCTGTCTGTCCCTTGACCTGTTCCAGAATACAGTTAGCTTTTTTAGAGTTTTAGCCTGTTAATCCCCAGGACTAAGTAGGATTAGTGTCACCCTAGGCATACTGGACTCATGAAACTGAAACACTTACAGATTGCTTAGAGCTTTCTTTATAACTTTGAAGCCAGAACTCGTGATTTTCTTAGGTCTGAGACCTCAGTAATACCAACTGAATGGAAAATTTGAAAAATATCTTTATAGCTGGAAGAAGTGATCTCAAGAGTACACTTCAGTTCATAGAACTATTCAAGTGAGATTCTTTTTAGGCAAGTTGTCTTTAGTGACATTTTCATGGATGAATTAAGAATGTAGAGTTGATGTGTGGAGACTGGAGAGATTACTACTACTTTAGCCAACAATATAATTTCAAAGTATTGTGGCTGTGTAAGTTGAAAGAAATGAAACAAAATGATTTTCATTTAATATTTGGGAAGGTAGAATAATCTGTCAAGGAGACTGAAGTAAAAGTATCTGTTCACTGGTTAGTGTTGCTAGGTAGGTAGGCTAAATTTTGTTAATGACAGATGCCATTTACGGGCTTTTTTGGTGAATGTAGACCACAGAGCCTTTAGGTTTTGAGCAGTTTTTTTTTTTAAACATCAGAAAGACTGGCTGTATGAGGGTCTGCAACTCTTTGCTTCTGAGTTTGTTTTGCTCTCTTTAAGTGCCTTCACTTAGGATACTGCTGATACAAAGGATACAATGTTTTCTCCTAAAATCTTAGGCCCACCTACCTTCATAGTTGATAATTTGATTAAAAATAAGAAAGGAAAGATATGAGAGTTAGCAATTAATAACCCCACTCAGTAGTATTAAGAAAATTGTCATTGAGCACTGAGTATTCAGCTTCCACCACTGCTGGTCAAGCAGCTGCCACCACCACTAGGCTGAATCTAGGACAGACACTGCCAGTGGGGTTGAGACATTTGGGACCCTAATCATATGGTACAGTATAGGTGAGGGAGAGACATATCAGCCTCACAAGAAGCAAGATTTATACTTTCAGGTACCTACATGATATCCCTGTTTAGATCTTCTAGGATTTTCAAGCCTAAAAGTGTATGTACTGCCCAAACCTGGGTTTCTCTCCCCAGTGTTCTGCATCTAAGTGGCTCTACCATACATCTGTTTGGATAAACCATAACTGTGTGAGTCATCTTTGACTTCTTTTTTTTTTTTTTTTTTCCGTCATTGACTCTTAACTCATCAGTCTCATCTTGAGCTCCGGATTGTTCACGACATTCCCAATCACATAGGCCTTTCCCTACACACGTGTTCTTTCTGCATGGTGAGCTCTTCTGGCTCTTGACATGGCTGAGCTCTTTTATCCTTTAGATTTTAGCTTAACTGTCACCTCAGAGAGAGCTTCTCTAACCGTTATAAAGAGGTCTCTTATTATTATCTCTCATAGTTTTCTTTTTCATAGCATTTATTACTGTAATTATAGTGTCTGTTTAAAAATTTTGTATACCATTAGATTTTAAGGTGTTTGAAGGCAGACAATTTGGTTTATATTTAGTATACAGTTCAATGTCTAGCACAAAATAAATGTGCAGTAAAATAGTGAACATATAAAAGAATGAATGGAAAGGATTTCTCACTCTTCACAGACTTCTCTGAGAATTGTTTGTAGTTAGAATGTTCCCATATGGTTATTTTTCTTTGATAGGTGACTCATTGATTTGGAATCTTATATCTGTCCTCATCTGATGGTTTCTGAAGTTGCATTTAGAATGATCTCACTTGCAAATGGTAACTTCTCATTATTTTGCGTCTACAACACCTGGGAGTCTGCTAATGGCGTCTTCTTAATGGAGCATTTGGTCTGTGGATGCATTCTAGTCCTGTTGACCTTCCCATGGCCAAATTTCTTGAACTCCTATTTCTGGGATTCCTGGATCTCATCTCACAAAATATATTCAAATATACAGCATTAGAGTCAATTATTATAGGCATGCCAACACTTAGTATATTAGGCATTTAGCTATTTCACAAAGTACTTACTGAGTGTCTATGATGTTCTTTTGTAGGGGTTTTAGTCTTGTCGGTAAATAAAATGGAAACACCCCTTTCCCTCATGGAACTTTCATTCTAGTTAGGAAAGACAGATGCTAGTAAACATAATTAAAAATGCATAGTATGGCCGGGCGCGGTGGCTCAAGCCTGTAATCCCAGCACTGTGGGAGGCCGAGGCGGGTGGATCATGAGGTCAAGAGATCGAGACCATCCTGGTCAACATGGTGAAACCCCGTCTCTA